TGTTAAAAAAAAAAAAAGTATCCATGAAGCACAATTAAGTACAATAAAACAAGATTTGCCTGTATATAGGAAATCCGAAGAATCCACACACAGCAACCACTAGGGCTAATAAACAATGAACAAAGGACAGGGTACAAGATCAACACACAAAAATCATTTGTATTTCTGTACATTGAGCAATGAAAAGTCAAAAAAGGAAATTAAGAAAACAACAATTACATTTAAAACAGCATCCAAAATAAAATATGCAGAAATAAACTTAGCCAAAGGGGTGAAAACTATATGCACTGAAAACTATAAAATATTGCTGGAAGAAATTAAAGATATAAATAAATGGAAAGACATTATAGGTTTATGGATTGAAAGACAATATCATTAAGATGTCAATACTAGGCAAAACAAGGAAGACTTAATATTATAAACTGTCAATACTACCCAAAGCAATCTATGGATTTCAATGTAATCATTCCCAAAATCCCACAGGCTTTTTTTACAGAAATGGAAAAGCCAACTCAAATTCATATGAAATTGCAAAAAGCCCCAAATACCCAAAACAATATTGAAAAAAAAGAAACTGAACCCCCACCTCACACCATATACAAAACTTAACTCAAAGTGGGTTAATAACCTAAATATAAAAGCTAAAACTCTACAACTCTTGGAAGAAAATATATAGTAGTAAATCTTCATGACTTTCTATTTGACAATGCATTCTTAAATAGGACATCGAAAGCAGGAGCAACACAAGAAGTAAATAATTGGATTTCATCAAAACTTTTGTGCATCAAAGGATACTATCAAAAGAGTGAAAAGGCAACCTGCACAATGGGAGAAAATACTTGGAAATTATGTATCTGATAAGAGTCTAGTTTTCAGAATCCATAAAGAACTCCTATAAAAAACAAAAAGACAAACAACCCAATCCAAAAATGGGCAAAGAACTTGAACAGACATTCCTGCAGAGAAGATGTAAGGGTAGACATTTCTCCAACAAGCACATGAAAAGATTCTCAACATCATTAGTCATTAGGGAAATGCAGATCAAACCACAAGGTGATACCATTTCATACTCATTACAATGGGTATTTAAAAGGATGGGGGGTGGGATATGGAGAAACTGGGCTGCTCAGATATTGCTGGTAAGAATATAAAATGGTATAGCTGGTGTAGAAAATAGTCTGGTGGTTCCTCAAAAAGTTAAACATAGAATTACTATATGACCCAGCAATTCCACTCCTATGTATATACCCAAAAGAACTGAAAAAAGGTACTCAAAGACTTGTGCCCAAATAGTCATACTGGCACTATTCATAATAGCTAAAAGGTGGAAACCTAAATGTCAATCAGCAAATGAATGGAGAAACGAATTTTGATATATCCATATAATGAAATATTATTCCCCCACAAAAAGGAATGAATCAATACATGTATTGATACATGTATATGGATGAACCCCAAGAACATTATGCTAAGTGAAAGAAGCCAAACAGAACGGTCACATGTTATATGATTCCATTCATATGAAATATCCAGAAGAAATTCATACAAACAGAAAGTAGGGATGCCTGGGTGGCTCAGTTGGTTGGGTGGCTGACTCCTGATTTTGGCTTGGGTCACAGTCTCGGGGTCCTGGGACTAAGCCCTGCATTGGGCTCTGCACTCAGAGGGGAGTCTGCTGGAGGATTTTTTTTTCCCCCCTCTCCCTCCGCCCCTCCCCCTGCTCACTCTCTCTCTCTCCAATAAATAAATC